TAATTTTAATACAAAAACACACTAAAGACACAAGATTTAATTTAAAATTAAAGCTTAAAATGTGGAAATTTACGATCATTTTTATATTTACCAATTATATATTTAAAATTAATAAAAATTCCAATGTAAGAAGCTTTAATGATTTTAATTTGCAAACCACCATTAATGTGTAATTATTTTCAGAGCTTCTTAAACTTAGCAGCTTATTAAACGCCACTTTAGCACTTGCTTACATTTATGAAAATGCTCCAAAAAGTTCTCAAGATCCCCCAGAATAATCCCCTACCCTCTAACAGCTGCCTTGGAAAAGCTTTTTCCCCATCCCAACGAAAATTATGAAAAACCGACGACATCTGCTGCAGTTTCAGTTTCTATATCTGCCTCTCGGCGAGGGGACATCAGCCGTCAATATGATTTGTGATTTACAACAGGTTTCAATTAACCAAAAAGAATTTTGCATCTTTTCGATGGAGAATCCCCCATATAGGGAGGGGAATTTCGGAGGAGAAGGCGGAGCAGCTGAGAGGCGATGACAGGGACATAAATAAGCGGCGGTTAAGTATCGTGTAATGCTAGACGAATAGTTTTGGGTTTGTCGCGTAACTGTAAGTGGAGAAGTGGCCCCATATATATATAGTTCCCGGGGGTAAACAGCCGCCGATGTTGCTGCTGGGCGCCGATGTTGCTGCCGTACATGTTGCTGCTGCAGTTGCAACTAATTGAGGACAAGGCGGCATAAATTAGACAACGCGCGTCTAAGTGGATCGAAAGATCGGGGATCGGGGATCGGGGATCGGGGGATACTATACCATATACACAATATCCGATTGACGCCCTGATGGATGTCTGCCCATCGTGGCGACATCTTTCAATTAAAAATGCATCCCACTGCCGCGCACATCCTTCATTTCGACCAACGCCGCCCTTTCGGTGATGTAATCTCGGGGCTCATTAAATTCAAATGGAATTTGTTTGAAAGGCAAAACTTAATCCGCTCGTAAACATCGACTCCCCACCTTCGTGACGTCGCTGGGCTCCAAACATAAATCAGCTGTGCTAACCCAAGGATTTGCCAGGCTCAACTCGGCTCTATTCTCAACTGCACTGGAAAAAATATAACAAGTGTCGGTATATGCGATAATTATATAAAAAATAATAAATAAGCTTTAACTAGTAGAAAATATTTTTAGTATCAATTTTTAAGAGTAGTAAAAATATTGGTCAGAGATTTTAATATCATATGTCTTTTAAAAATATTATAGAACCCTTCGTTCATTGTAATCTTCGTTTTATTTATTATTTTTTTTTAGGTCGAAATGTTTCAGTACATTTAAGTAAGGTTTAAACTTAACAATAACTGTATAGTATTATTAACATTATAAATAACAAAAAAAAAATCTTTAAAAAATGTATCTGGCTTGAAATGTTTTGTTTGTTTTTAGTTTTCCTAATTAATTGCAAACCCAAAATACTCACTTAATAAAAACAATTTTATCTGAATATATTTTTAAGGTCAACATTTTTAGTGCATAAAAGAAAACAGAACAGTTTGTATAAATCTTAGAATACTTATGTAAAATATAAAAAAAGTCTTTAAAAAATTCATCTGGTTAGATATGTTTTGTTAGATGTTAGTCCTCCTAATGGTTCCAATTTATTCGCTATATTCGAGTGTATGCGAATCGTATAACTGGGGAACTGGAGAGCGTGTGCCGCCGTAAACCTCGTAACGAATGCTGGCCAACGGCAGAAATCTAATTTCAAGCACCAGAGAGCAGGCGAGGCAGGTGGAGAGGCTGCCTTTTCCACTTGGCTGGCTTAACGATTCGAACTGCTGTCGGGGTTTTCGGTTTTCGCCGGGTCCTGAGAGAACACCCAGAGAATCTGCAGACCCCACCACCAGCCATCCACTTTGTTGTCTTTTTGATGTCTTAATGCGAACCACCCAGCACCCAGAACCACCCCCTGCTTACGATTTTCCCGCCCGGGCATACCGTTTTAATCAAATGGATTTTCCCTCTATTTCCCATCCAATTTTCCCCCCTGGCGGTACGGAAATAGACCTGCCGAACAAACCGAATAAAGCGCCCACCCACTCGAGAGCGGCGACAACAGGAGCCACGATTTATTAGGTTCTTACACGTCTGATCTCTGCCGGTATTAGCCGGCTATATGGTATAGCATAGCCCCTGGGTGCCAGGCATTATTCATGGAGGCATCAATGGCCCAGTGTCATTCACTGGCCCATATTTATTGCATCTCAAGTTGCCAGGATTTTGTTTTCTAAAATTTATTAGATTAATTATAATACGTTGCGATAAAATAATAAATATTATAAGATTAACATATATCAAGATTCAGATGTACATACATATATATTTTTGATTTTTCTTTACAAGTAATAAAATTTTTATGTAATCTAGTTATTTTTAGAATAAATAAAAAAATTTAAAGTTAACAGTCGAGAACAAAAAGGCTTTAAAGTAATAAAACAATTTACTCATTGATTTGATTTTTTTCCTGGTACAATTGTTTATTTATTAGATGTTTTTATCTTGATTTTATAGCAGTACTTTATAGACGTCCTATTTTCCTATACAATTTAAATGGGAACAGTTGTGACCAAAGTGACCAAGCCAAGACACACACCCTTGAACAGTATAAAAATCAGGTAAAGTAAAATAGTTGGTCAAATACACACAAAAAAAGGATTTTACCAAAAGGCGCCACCAACTAAAATGTATATACATATATATATTGTTTTTAAACAAAAAAACTTTAAACAGAAAGAGCAAAATAATAATCGTTTACGAAATTGAAGATTTTTGTCTTCCTTCAATGGAAATAGTTGGTTGGGTACGGGTCGGGAAATATGACGGCGTTTCTGCGACTTGTAGTACATTCTATAAAACTTGAACAGCAGATTGATGATTTGAAGTATAACCAAAACTGTTAGAAGTTTTATAATATTTGACAAAAAATAATTTGTTCTCCTTAATAGGAGGTCAACAGCTTGATCGTATGCTGTAATCATCGACATCGCGTTGAAGTTATAATTATTCCAAAATTCTCTTAGACTGAACCGCTGACTTGTGAATTTGAAGTTGGACTGAAGGGCGAGAAAACCGATTCCTTGCAATTGCTATAAAGCATGCACTTAAAAAAATGAAAGTAGTACGCAAGTTTAAAATCTCAAACTTTTTAAAATGAGTATTAAACTTTCCCTAATGAAATATTTCACCTAAAATTAATTACTTGTTTTTTAATTCTGTCAATTTTTTGTTATAAAACAACTGGTCCTTCAGAAATTGGCATTCCTTGTTTTGGAAGTTAAGGATTTTATTTCAAGTGTATATATGTTTCAGCGATCCAATTTCAATTGTGAAGCCATTTGTGCCATTTTACTTGAGTCATCAGATTTATAAGCTTAAGCTCTTGGGTGATGTGCACAGAGTTCTCATTTGTTATATAAAACTTTTAAATTTCAAAATTATAAATTAAAGTGGCATCGCTTAAATTGCTTTACTTTAATTTAATTTCAATACAACATAAGAAGAGACGCCTAATTTAAAAGAATGGTTTTGTACAACTAATAATCAAATTAATCGATTCCTATCCATCACAATTTTAAGCGGAAATATATATCTATATATATTTTTTAAGCAAAAAAAAATTGTAAACAGAAAGAGCAAAATATTTTTACATTTTTATAACAGGAAAAAAAAATAAAAGTAAACCTGTGCCAACCCAGAACCAATGTGAAACCCTTCACTTTTGAAAATAAATTTACGGACTCATCGTTTTTTTATTTACTGCTCCACATCCTGAAGCATTTATTCGCAAATTATAAACTGTATAATCGTTTACGGAATTGAAGATTTTTGTCCTCCTTCAATGGGAGCAGTTGGTTGGGTACGAAGTTCCTCCCGTCGGGAAATATAATGGCGTTTTAGCGACTTGTGGTACATTTTATAAAACTTGAGCAGCAGATTGATGATTTGAAGTATAACCACAACTGTTAGAAGTTTTATAATATTTGATAACAAATAATTTGTTCTCCCTAATTGGAGGTCAACAGCTTGATCGTATGCTGTATTTTCCGGAATCATCGACATCGCGTTGAAGTAATAATTATCCCAAAGTTCTCTTAGACTGAACCGCTGTCTTGTGAATTTGAAGTTGGACTGAAGGGCGAGAGAACCGATTCCTTGCAATTGCTATAAACGCATGCACTTAAAAAATAAAAGTATTGTAGTACGCAAGTTTAAAATTTGAAACTTTTTAAAATGAGTATTAAACGTTGCCTAATGAAATATTTCACCTTAAATTAATTACTTTTCTTTTAATTGTGACATTTTTTTTTTATTGTCTTTATTATTAAATACAAACTGTTCAAGTTGCTTTGGGATATTATAAAAACAACTGGTCCTTCAGAAACTGGCATTCCTTATTTTGGAAGTTAAGATTTTTATTTCAAGTGTAGATATGTTTCAGCGATCCAATTTCAATTGTGAAGCCATTTTTGCCATTTTACTTGAGTCATCAGATTTATAGGCTTAAGCTCTTGTTCTCAATTGTTATATAAAACTTTTAAATTTCAAAATTATAAATTAAAGTGGCATCGCTTAAATTGCTTTACTTTAATTTAATTTCAATACAACATAAGAAGAGAGGCCTAATTTAAAAGTCTGGTTTTGTACAACTAATAATCCAATTAATCGATTCCTATCCATCACAATTTTAAGCGGAAAATGTCAAAAAATTAAAGGTTTCCAAGTTCCAATCGATTTAGAATTTTATAAGGACTTCTAGCATTCCATATTTGGCTTATTAGTTTAATTTTTACGGGCAAAATACAGAGTTTTTCGGTGGAAAATTAGAATCTGTGTTTTTGGTTTAAATATTAGTTTTTCTTAGTGTTTTAAGCTGCAACCTTGCAATCTTAGTAACACCATACATAAGTTAGATACCTCCAATATGCCCAAAAAGAAAGGCCGCCATAATTAACACTGAACTTTAATACACAAATAAATACATGGGATTATGTAATACAATACATATTCGGGATTAGCCTAGCGCGACGCGGGGTCCCTGAAGGCGGGACCGAAACGGGTGCAATCAGTCTTCTTCAAAATATTACGGAAATTTGTGGGGTATCAACTATCCTCCTAAAGCCTAAAATAGAGAATTGTGCTACGGAGATTTGGAAAAGCAACTAGGGGCTAACTCGGTTTCATAATCTGTCTTCTCTAGACCTCTTTGGGCCTAGAAACGCATCCGCTGTGGTCCCGGCGTGCGTTTGGGTGCCACTTCGTTGCCATTGGCTGGCTGTTGGCGTTTCCTTGGTGTATAGATGCTGCCTGATGATCGGGGGGAATCTAAGGTACTAATAACCTCCTCTTGTGGTCTCTCCGGTGTCTCCACCTGTCGAGCTGGCTGCTCCTGCTGCACCGCGGGATTCGGGTCGGGATCCTCTTCCTCCTCGGCGTTCTCCTCTGTGAACAGCGTACGCCGGACGCCACGACGGCTGCTCGGTGGCGAAGGAAGGTCCTCGCCCTCGTCGTCTGTGCTCGGATTGCAGCGGCCATTGCCACGTCGTGGAAGGGATCTAGCAGACGGCGGAGCTGCCAAGGTGGATCGCTTGAGGCTCGTCAGCCCGCGGTCGTAGACAGCCAGGCAGATCTCGATGCCGCGCACTTGGCTGCCCGGCAGCTGGGTGGTGCGATAGCCCAGAGTGAGGTGGACCGTGCAGGACTCGCCCAGGTCCAGGCCGCCATAGCTGAGTACTCCGCGTCTCTTCAGCTGGCCAATGGCCTCCACATATTTCAGCGAATGCAGGGCGTAGCTCGAGGGACGCGGCGGCGTGATCTGGGCTATGGGATGCTGCTCGATCACCTCCTCGTCGTCGCTCTCGGGACGCAGATGCAGGGTGGTGGTCCACTCGTGCTCCTTCTGCTCGTAGATGCGACGCCGCTCGCGGTCGAAGGCTCTGCCGAAGCGCTCCTGCAGGAGCAGCTCGTCGCCAATGCTGGGCGCCGCCGCCTCATCGAATCCCGCGTGCTGGTAGCGATTCGTCAGCTGACTACGCAGAAAACCAGTGATCGCCCTCACGCCCCGCACATTGCGGCTGTAGAAGTTGAGGATGCAGTCCTCGGCCAGGTCGCGGCGCACGGTGCCGTCGTCCACGCCCTTGACAAACTCATGGACCACCTCCAAGGGCGTCCCCGCTGCAAAGGGCAGAGAAAAAGAGAGAGATTCCAATTGATCAGCGATCTATGTCCACCGATACCGCCTGGATGACCACTCACCGTGCTGCTCCGGTATGTTCATTGCGTGCCTCCTTGCTTCCAGAAGCGCCGGTCATGCGGCTTTTCACTTAAAAAAATATAAATAATTTACAAAATAGAATATAGTCAAGACGGCGTTTGTTGATAGAATGTTTTCTACCGGACGCTCTGAGAAATGCTTTATCGATTGTCGATTTATAGGTATCGGTTATCGGCTGGGCAATTTGAATTCCAATTTTTGGGAAATAACTAAAATTCTCTAATATATATATATGTATATATTTTACTGTGAATTTTAGATTTGAATCTATTTATTTTTTTTACTTTACAAAAAACTATTTTATTTTCATCAGTAAAATATAGATATCACGACATTCCCTTAATTGCGATAGTTTGTATTTTTAGCACTGCAAAGTTGAAATATTTTTTTTACGATATTTGTACACTCTATTTAAAGAACATTTTTCTTTTGTGTTTTTAAATTTAAAATAATGCCAAAATATTTAAACTAAAATATCGATGTTCACAAAGGTTGACATAAGTGCTGACGACTTCGATTTTTCCCACCAAATCTGGCTATTTTTGAAGGTCAACTGCGAGAAGCGGGAATTCTGACATTCCCATAAAATATGTTTAGCTGTTGTACGTTTTTTAATATTAAATTTTATCTATTAAATAATAAGACCTTTTTTATTTGTTTTGATTTTTACACCATTAGCGTTAATAGGTTTTAAACTTTTAAAATGTTCTTAAGCCAAGGCAATTATCTAGGAATAAGTGGACGATTTGTTGGACATGCTACAAAAACATTCTTAATATATCAGCTTTTTTTAAAGAGTATTTTAGCTTTTTTCCCGTCAAATACCGCACCAAACAAAGTTGGCAGCACTGGTTGACATTCACTCCGAAACCATTTCTCACATCAGCTGCACAGGAAAACGCAAGGAAATCGTGCAAAATGTTCAAAAAGTACGTATATTGTGGGGTTAATGGCGGGCTCGGACTAACCAGCGCCTTCCGATCTCTCCAGGTTCGAGGAGAAGGACAGCATTTCGAGCATCCAGCAGCTGAAGTCGTCGGTGCAGAAGGGCATACGTGCCAAGTTGCTGGAGGCATATCCCAAGCTGGAGACGCACATCGACCTGATCCTGCCCAAGAAGGACTCGTACCGCATCGCCAAGTGGTAGGATGGCATCAGCATAGTTGACTCTATAGGCCCCCATTGATATCCCACTCCCATTGCAGCCATGACCACATCGAACTGCTGCTGAACGGAGCCGGCGAACAGGTGTTCTTCCGCCACCGCGATGGCCCCTGGATGCCCACGCTGCGGCTCCTGCACAAGTTCCCCTACTTCGTGACCATGCAGCAGGTGGACAAGGGCGCCATCCGGTTCGTCCTCAGCGGAGCGAACGTCATGTGTCCGGGCCTCACCTCGCCGGGCGCCTGCATGACGCCGGCGGACAAGAGCACCGTGGTGGCCATCATGGCCGAGGGCAAGGAGCACGCCCTGGCCATCGGACTCCTCACGCTATCCACACAGGAAATGTGAGTGCTGCTTACTGTAACTCTGCAACTCCAGAGGAGTTCTAGGCTTTGTGTTCAGCTTGCTTGTTCAACTTATCTCAAGCAGTATGTGAATCTATTACCATTTATAGAATTATTTTCTATAGACTGTTTTTACTTGGTCAGCTTAACATAACTAGTATAGGTTTATAGAACCTTTTCAAAAGATTGTTATAGTTCTTTGTCTATAGACTGTTTTTTTGTAAATTAACTCGTATGTGAATCTTTTATTGTGTTTAGAACCCTTTTAAAATATGATCATAGTCCATTGTCCATAGACTGATTTTACTTGATCAGCTTATCTTAAGTAGTATGTATTTATTTTACAAAAGATAGAACACTTTTGCAAGATTCTGCCTTCACCTATTCACATTATTCTCTAACTCGAAGAGGTTTAAAGTTCCTTTACTTGTTTTATCACTTCAAGCACTATTAGCAATTACAGATTTATTAACCAGAATATTAGTAAATATTACAATGACTCTATACATACATATGTACAATAGTCTAAACTTTGTATGGGTAAATCTATCTAATAGCTTGATTTTTTTCTGTATTTCCAAATTAGTAATTTAGTAGAACATGACCTATTGGGATATTACTTTTACTTAGTTAGCTTTACCAAAATGTGCGTTATTATCAAAATAACAAACTGACAGACTCCAAATCCTTCAATGGTATGAAAACAATAGTGTTATTAGATGGTTTTGCTAAAAACTATTACGGCAATTTATTTTAAACCATTAATATTGATTAAACTAAAAGAAAATATGTATGTTCTTCAGGATATCTGCACCTAAATGCTTTTTAACTAATATTAAAACAGCTCATATGTCCAGTCGCATATAAAGAGGACAGCCTGGATACTTCGTAAATTTTAATAATGGATGAACCCACATTTCTCTTCCCGTTTCTATAGTCTGGCGAAGAACAAGGGCATCGGCATCGAGACGTACCACTTCCTCAACGACGGCCTGTGGAAGTCGAAGCCCGTGAAGTAGGCGAAATAGGAATCTGCACATGCACTTTTTAGTCTTCTATGTCATGAGAGCAAAGAATGGTTTTTGATATATGCAACTGAATCCTGTTTATTATTTTTTTCCTCTCCTAATTTTACACTGTCAGTTAAACTATTTAAATCAATGCGAAATATAATTAATGGCATTTAAAGCGTTCAGAGAGAGATAAAGAGAGGAGAGAGAAAACCACCTGTGGAAAGAGGTTCAGGTGAAAAAGGTGTAAACGGATCTAAATGGGATATTATAGACCCGGACTTGGGCAGCTATGACTGATTTATGGTCGGTGACCATTTTGTTAGCTCAAATCTTATTTTTGACCAACTCCTTTTGTTTATTGATTTGTCGAACAATCAACAAAATGAAGACTGCGGCTTAGAGGTTGTCAGGGCTGCATTAAAAACTTCTATTAGCATCTCATAACTTATTTTGTGGTGCATAACTTCTTTGATCAGGGAACAAAAAGAGCTTAATAACTAAATGTTACCAGTTTATTGTATAGTTGTTTTATTTCAAAAGAAGTGAAATAAAGCTTCGCAAAACCAAACTATATATTTTTTGTTAATACTTTGGATTTTAATGATTTTATACTCTCAGTCGGTAATAATCGTAGCATACTATTAGAGGCACCCAATTAAAATGTTCCTTAACGATATGAAATTTGTTATGCGGAAGGAACGGTATATCTCATTCAGCTTGTCTTCAGGTCGAAATGCTCTATCTTTCAAAATATGGACGCCACCCTGGTTTTTCTAAACTTTCAGCTGACCGATAAACGGTACAATCGAACAGCTGACTTGCAGACATGCGCAATCCTGCGCACTTAACGGTACTCCATGCGCACTCCGCCGTAAATGGAGAAAGTGCTTTCCTTTCGCGTCACACAGCATTTGTCGCATCCAACGGCAAGTGCAGCGCAATTTGCCACGGAAAAAGCAGAAGGAAAGTGTCGTGGAAACTGTGTGTGGAAAACAGCAGGAAAAACCACAAGTGGTGGCTGCTAACGGTTGCCAAGCATTATGAACATATTCGACTGTGAAAATGGTAATTCCCGATGAGTAATCCCAGTGAAAAGTGTTTATTGAGCTGCCAAATGGTCTTGACATATGGATTTAATTGAAAAAGTACCGTTGCAATGCCTGCTGCATTGTTCGCCTGTGTGTGCTCCTGTTTGTGTGTGTGAAAGTAAAAAAAGTTTTTCAAGGAAAACGGATACACACTGTTTGAACTTTTCGAAGGTGCACAATTGCAGTGTGTGAGCAAAAGTTTTTCAAAAGTGACGTGACGTGACGCGATGTGTGTGGGTGGAATACATATGGCGGCAACATAAAACATATACATATACAAAGCAGCCATCCTTTACCGTTACTGTATTATTACATTTCGTTTGTTTGTATTGATTTTACTACCGTTTTTAGGCGCTAATTGAGTTGTTGTTGTTATTACCAATAATGGCGTGCAAGGGCGAAGCAACAACAACAGCAGCAGCAGCAAACAAAATTGCCTGAAGCAGCAACAACAAAACACGCACACCAGGAAAGAAATATTTGGCCAACACACACACACACGCAAACAAGGAGAGAGTGTTAGAAAGAGAGAGCGGCAATATGGAGGACCTCTTTTTACTTATTATCAAGGAATCAACGGGAACTAAACACAATGCGCTGCGGCAAACGGCGCAAATCGCTTACGGTAAGTTTTTCCACTTTCTTAGCAATATGTGTGAATTTACTGTTGGTTAGCACGGAGAAAGTGTGAAAGAGTGTGGGGGCGAGAGAGAGAGCGAATAAGAGCAGTACCATCCACAAACTTCCTTTCTCGCTTTCCCCTCCGCTTGTTGTTTTTGTTGTGGCCTGGCCAATGTTTGTTGTTTACCGTTAGTTGCTACTTCCTTTGTGCAATGCCCTTCGATTTTCCAGTGCGGCATTTAAGTTTCTGCAAGTGAGTGGATTTTTGTATAATTGTGTTTTATATTGTTTTAACAGCAATACAATTTAAGTTGTAAAAATATTTAAGAAATCATTTTGAATCTTTTTGCAAGGACCGTAATCTTTATAAGTGAAAATTTTAAAAATCACAATTTACTGATAACTTTTTTGTTTTTATTGATTCATCAAAAATACAGAACTAAAAAAAAAGATTCTTTTATGAGTAGTATTCGGTTCTTCTTGATCCACTTAATGAGGATAGCAATCAATCTTTTCTAAGAATCCTTTTAAAAATAACTCTTTAGTATTTACTATTTTTGGTCCTTCGTGTTTGTAAACTTTATATTCCTGCTGCCTTGTACATTCACTTTTTTTTCTGCGAAGGACATTGCAAGTCCCGCTCAACTGAAACTTTTATTTGTCTCCTTTTGATTTTCTGACTCTGTAGCTTTTGTGTTTTCTGCGTTGGCGTTGCAGGCAAGTAGCAACGAGTGGTGGGAGTTCCCACGCTCAGCGGTGCAGGAAAGTAGGCAACGATTTGCGTGAGGATGGGCGTGGGAATCCCCCACACCTCCCACACCCACATCCGTCCGCTTATCGGGACAGATTTTACTGCCTGCATTAGTTACATACTTGTGTGCCCATGGCGATAGCCGTTAATCGCGACGACTTACCACTAATTCCGGCTGTAACTTTTTGCAAACAATGAGGGAAACATAAAAATTACAATGTAATACGTACATTATTTATAGATTCAGTACGAATACGGAGATAACAAAGATATTATGACAATGGAATCAATACTATGAAGTAATAACAAAATATAAACAAAATGAGATTTGCAATTGATAAATATATTACTAAAATTATAATCATATCAACTGGATTTAAAAATATATTCGATATATTTATCAAATAAATATTTTAAATTATTATTCTTAAGTACAAAAATATATAATCAACCCATTGATGACCCAATTTTCGTTTCTCCCTGCAGATAAACTCTATCGCCAGCATGGAATTCACCGGGATCCGTCGCACGAGCTGCGCTCCGTTTGCTTTACCGCCCTGCAGATGGCGCTGGACACAAAGCGGCCCAAGTTCATCACGATGGGACTCAACGGCCTCCATGTAAGTGCACCGTCCGGAAACGGAGATTACCGGGCGGGTTTATGGTAATGGTAATGGTAATGGGGGGTAACAATGGCCATAACAACCACTGACACACATTTTCCGGCCGGAACTTCCGGCGCACAAAGCGGATTTATCATTCCGTGTGCACACACTGGTCACTGGAGGAAGGACAAAGGACAAAGGACATGGGAGAAGGCATATGGCATATGTGGGACACTGGGCCATTTGTGGGCAATGGGCGGAATCGACTAATTGCCGGCAATCCTCGGGGGTCGGAAGTGACTTTTGTTTATGACTGGTTAACAATATGGTAATCGATAATTCCGGACTTGGTCCTGCAGTTTTGTGCTTGCCCTTTGGCTATTTTTAAACCATCCTCTATCCTTTCACTGGATATCTAAACTACTATAAAATTGGACCGCTAAAAAACGGTCAGTAGCTAATTTCACCCAAACCGAATAGACATAAAAATCTAAAAAAAATCACATTATTTGCTAAAATAATTAGGAGCCGCTTGTATGACAAATATCCTTGACCTTTCAGTTTCCCTTTTCCAGTCTTTCCCATTTATTTTCCCCTTAATCCCTTAATACTGTGAATTTTATTTAGCAACTCTTTGTTTTTATTATACCTACATTTTTAACCACCCTTTGATAATCCTGTTTGGCCATCCCAACAGCGCGTCATCAAGGACGAACGCTTCTACATCGGCCTCGAGCCCGAGGACGACTCCGTGTGGCTCCCGTCACAGCTGCTGAGGGCCACCAACGGCATCCTGCCGTCGACGAGCAGCGAGGACACGGTGGTCAATGTGCTGCGCCTCTTCCTGGCGATGGCCTGCTCCCCCGCCTGCACCCTGAACGGCCGCCTGCTCATCGAGATCCTGTCCCGGTGCGGCGAGTGCTGGGAGATGGGCTCGCGGGCCACCAAGGCCGCCTCCTTGGCCGCCGCCTCCCAGTGCCTGCGCACCTTCTGCGCCTTCCTCATCGAGGAGGCCGAGGAGGTGAAGAAGACGGCGCCCGCCGGCCTGATGACCCAGACGCAGGCCTCCGCCGTCTACAACGAGGTCATACCCGTGATGCAGTGGCTCTGCAGCCGGCTGGTGGAGCCCAATGTGAACGCCTCGCCCAACAAGAAGTGCGAGAACCACAGCTCGCTGTACCTCACCGAATGCATCCTCACGCTGAGCTCGGCCCTGCCCCGGAACGTCCATGCCAATCCGCACTTCACCTCCTTCCTGTGGCAGAAGTTCTGTCCCACGCTGGCGGCGGCCCTGGGATCACCCGGCAGGATCAATCTGGACAAGAAGTTTACTTACAAGTAAGGGGAGAAACTGAGAATATGGAAAGAATTTTTTAAACATTTATGTATTTTTTTTTTTTAAATTTTCATAGAACCTTTATTAATTAGCTAGTATATTATTTTGTGTTATTATATGTAAGTATATTATTTCATATTAAATAATATTATATCATATTATATCTTATTATATCGTATGTTATCATGTTATATGATATTATATCATATTATATCATACTATATCATATTATCTCATATTATTTAGCTTGAGGCTTTGTTACTGTAAATTTTACATTATAGTGGAACATTTCTTAATAATAATAATGATATTAATATAGTTTGCTAATAACTTCTCTATAATATCATATTATATCATACTATATCATGTTATATCATATTATATCATATTTAATCATATTATATCATATTTTATCATATTATATCATATTTTATCATAGTTTATCATATTATATCACACTATATCATCTATATTATCCTCAGGGACGCCCTGCACATGATCGAGAACGAGGCTCGTGGCTTCTTCACCGGTCCCGGATTAGATGGCCCGCAGGCCCGTTGTGTCTACTTGACCGCCATTCAGTTACTTCGGATTGCCGGCGCCCATGGCTCACTGCGTCCCATGCTGGAGGCCCTGTTCCATCGGATGCTCCTGCTGCCGGCTCCCCAAAACCGGACAGAGCCCCTTCGGTGCGTGCGAGAGATCTTCAAGAGCCCGGAGCGACTGATCGACCTGGCGGTGATCTTATATGTGGACAAGAACACCGCCCAGGGATGCAGCGATGAGATGGCGTTGTTCCGGCTGTAAGTTTGTGTAGTATATATAATATAGTAAGAATATTTTATAATGGAATACAAATTGGGAAGGGTCAAGGAATTCGTAGATGATTTAGGGAAGTCCCTATACACCAAAAGCTATTGACAAAAATCCAATCTTATAGCTAGTGGAACTAATTAATTAATTATTTGGACTTGATTGAGGTCACATAAAGAAAAATCACTTAAGAAATAGGTACAAAACTAGTATAGGTTAGGATATTATAGTTAGGATATTTGCTAGATAAAGAACGAATAATTCTTAACATTTTTAGGACAGTTTTATGTATATATATATTTATTAATCATTTATATTGTTCTCTTCTTTAAAAAATGTATGTGATTTATTTTAAGAACTTTAATAGAACCTGTATTTATTAGCTATTATATTATTTTATGTTGTATTACATTATATTATATCGTATTGTATCATATTATATCATATTATTAAGCTTGAGGCCCCGTAGCTATAGCTAAATTTAAGTTTGCCTGTACATTTTACATAATAGTCGAACATTTCATAACAATAATAATATTAATATTAGAATATTAGTATACTTAAGGAGAAATCACTTAAGAAATACTATATATACTTAAGAAATACTATACTACTATACTTAGACATTTGCTAGTAATAGGATCGATTAATTCTTATTACCTTAAGGACAACTTTATATATATAGATTTATTAATAATCTATATTGTTCTCCCTCTCAGCCTGGTGGACGCCATGGAGGAGTGCGCCTATGGGGCCAGCGGCGTGGGCTCGGCCACGGAGGCCAGTCTGCAGGCGAGCGTGGAGTGCATGGTGGCCCTGCTGGACAGCCTGCAGGTGCTCTGCAGCGGCGAGCTGACCGAGTCGATGATCAGCGACCAGATCGTGCAGGTGGTCAACGGACGGCACGACCTGCTCAAGGATGCGGACTACTCGGGTCCGCTGACCTACCAGAGCATGGCCCGTCTGCCGGCGCCGTATCGCGATGCCATCGTGGAGTTCCGGCAGAACGTCTTCGAGACGTCGTCGGGTTCGGAGAGCGAGGGTGAGCCGCCGCACGAGCAGGATGCGGCCTCCAATGGTTCGGGGGACACCGAGGGACCCGAGGACGACGACCCGAGCAGCAGCAGTGATGAGACATCGCGTGTGGAGAACCGCTGGCCCTACTCGCATCTCGAGGCCCCCGTGATGCCCATACGAACGGATAGCGACAATGATCGCCAGCATGCCAGGGATTTCGCAAGGGCTTTGCGGCAGGATCTGGTGCCGAAACTGCTGCGGCTGCGCAGCTGCGTGGAGCTGGACGAGGCCATGCAGGAGTTCGCCTCGGCCGTTTGCCAGGAGAACAGCATGAACTTCTCGGATTTCGATTACAACCTGACCGCCATCAATGCGGACGGCATCTACCTGGCCATCTACTCGTCGCTGCTGCTCAGCCTGCAGCTGATGCGGTCCGGCTACTACGAGCAGGTGGCCCAGGGCATCGCGCACAAGGACATCCTGGTGCCGATGTCGGAGCAGCAGTTTGTGACGTCGGTGCAGAACACAGGTGTCCTCGTCTATCTCTCCTCGCCGTGGCTCTGCGAACTCTACCAGTCGGTGACGGTGTGTAATGTTTTGGAGGCCATGCCCCGCCAGCAGCTGGAGGGAATGGGGCCGCGCTGCGCCCTCGTCGATATGCTGTGCGATGCCGGCGGACTGGGAGCCACCCAGATGTTGTCCGAGTGGCAGCGCCTGCAGACGGCCAATGTGAAGCACAAGGAGGAGGAGCAGCTGCACGACAAGCGCCGGGAGGCGGCCAAGAAGCTGTGCCGCCGCCTGCTCACCTGCTGCTGGGACTCGATGGTCATTGTGCTGAGCTCGGGCCTGGGCGATCTGCAGACCAGTTCGGCATCCAACAAGCTGGTGGCGCTCTCGAAACGAACGCTGCGGGTGAAGGCCAAGGCGAATAAGTCGAACGGGGAGGCGCTGTATGCCATGTGCCTGGACGGTTTGCATTCGGTAAGGAGTACACTAGTCGGCATAATTATTTTGACAGCTTTGAATGTTTACTGTAGTCACATTTTGAACTTTTAATATAAACTTTTGGCACCTATAGAAAGAGCACTTCAATTCCGTTTAAATTACTTTGAAAAGTGAGCAAATTTTGTGAAAGTCAAATTTTCAACATTTTTCCTGGGGCTTAAAACAAAAATGTTTTGATGCAAAGTTTTTCCCCAATCAAAATTAATAATAACTGCAAAAAAAAATATTTCAAAATATTTTTCCTTGTATTTTGTATGATTTTTTGAATGGAACGATATCAGTAAAATTGCGTATGAAAAGGTGGAAAAAGCGGCTAAAATTGTTATTTTTAGCTATTTTCAAAAAATCATAAAAAATACAATGAAAAATATTTTGAACATTTTTTTTTTCAGTTATTATTAATTTTGATTGGGGAAAAACTTTGCATCAAAACATTTTTGGTTTTAAGCCCCAGGAAAAAAGTGGAAAATTTGACCTTCACAATAAATTTTCTAATTTTCTAACTTTTTGAAGGGTGCTTAATGGGTTAAGAACATTGTTGTGTCATTTAAACGGAATTGAAGTGCTCTTTCTATAGGTGCCAAAATGTTAATATTATAAGTAAAAAATGTGAGAAGATTTAACTTTAAAATTTGTCAAAATAATTATGCCGACTTGTGTAGAATAATCATATATTTTAAAAATAATAATAAATAATCTTAATTCCCAGGCCGCCACCCTCAGCAACAGCTTGAATCTGCAGCATTTGGCTGGGAAGATACTCAACCTGCTGGCCTCGAATGTCTGCCAGACCTCCGGACCGCGCATCTCGGCCAGCCAGGCCATGTCCATGGACGTGGTGCTCACAGGCGGCCTGAATTTGGGCAGCTACAGTGCCGACTGCTGGCCGAGCATCTTCGCCGTTTGCCGGCATGTCAGCCAGCTGGAGCACGAGATCTTCAGCATGCAGAACCCTGCGATTTCCGCATCGCCGGGCAGCAGTCGACGGGATTTGGAGACGGGCGAGAAGCTGAGCAACGGCAATGCCCAGGACAAGCTCAACCTGTCCTCCATACCCATCGATGATGATGAGACGTGGTAGGGACTTCAATTGTCTATTACCTTATTTAATTTACTGATTAATTCTCGTACTCAGTGTGGATGTGTACAGCTTCCTGCAGGCACCGATGCAGAGTCCCAACACGAACATCACCTCCATTCTGAAGGTCTACTCGGGCACGAATGAGACGGTGCTGCTCAGCCAGAGCGACACCTCCAAGGTGCTCTGCGCCCTGTCGCACCAGGCGGAGAACCTCTTCGGCGACGCCGCCGAGCGGCTCAGCCTGCCCTCGCTGTGCCAGTTCCTCAAACACCTGTGCCGCGCCTCCAGGGAGCAGCTGTACAAGAGCCAGGTGGCCCGCAAGGGCAGTCGCATCTGGTGGCCCAGCAAGGGCTGGAAGAAGCTGGACTCGCTGCCCATGTCCCTGCTCCTCCATCGGATCGGGGATGTCACGCTCAAGGTGTTCCGCAGCTCGCGCCCGCTGCTGCACGTGCTCAAGGTCTGGGCCATCACGGGACCGCATCTGATGGATGTGAGTATTCTAAGGGTTGCTTCTTTGCTTACAGCTAAAGGGTTATATCTTTTGAATAATTATAATCTCTCTAGTATATATTATATATATTTCATTTTGTAATATTTCACATTTTACAATATTTTCTATTTTTGAATATTTCCAATTTTGTAATATATCATTTTTTAAATATTTTTTTTAATAATATTTATATTGTAATATTTCCTATTTTGTAATATTTTCCCTTTTGTAATATTTCATTGTTTGCAATATTTCCTATTTTGTAATACATCACATTTATCAATATTTCCCGTTTTGTAATATTTTCCATATTTTAATATTTCCTATTTTGTTATATTTTGTATTTTGAAATATTTAATATTTTTGTAATATTTCCTTTTTAGTAATATTTTCTACTATGTTATATTTCATATTTTTAAATAATATTTGTAATAATTTTTGAATATTTCGTATTTTGTATTATTTATTTTTTGTAACATTTTCTTTCTTTCATTTGTAATATTTTTCATTTTTCAATAATTCTTATTTTTTTTAATATTTCCTGTTTTGTAATATTTCCTATGTTGAAATATTTTATATTTTTGTAATATTTCATAGTTTGCAATATTTCCTATTTTGTAATATTTTCTATTTTTTTAATATTTCCTATTTAGTAATATTGTAATATTTCCAATTTTGAAATATCTTATATTTTTAAATATTTCGTAGTTTACAATATTTCCTATATCGTAATATTTTCCATTTTATAATATTTTATATTTTTTAATATTTTCTATTTTGTAGTGTTTTATATTTTTTAATATTTCCTATAATGTAATATTTCCTATATCGTAATATTTTCCATTTTATAATACTTTTAATCTCAAGGCCGCCTGCCACCGCGACCGGATGATCTCGAAGCGGGCGATCGAGTACATTCACGACATCATCACGGCCCTGCTGGTGGAGCAGTCTGAGCTGCCGTACTTCCACTTCAACGAGGCGCTGCTGAAGCCCTTCGAGAACCTGCTGAGCATGGACACGGATGTGGATGTGCAGGATCAGATCGTGGCCTGTCTGTACGAGGTGGTGGAGGCGCACCGCACCGAAATCCGCTCTGGGTGGCGACCCCTTTTCGGAACGCTGCGCAATGCCCGCAGTCGCATGCTGAACATGAGCAACATCATCGACATATTCCGCGTGTTCCTCGACTCGGACAACACGCTGGTGTTCGCCAACGCGGGACTGGACTGCATCCTGTGTTTGCTGTCCTACCTGGAGATCTCGGGCGGTGGCAACAACAATTCCTGCTCGGGAAGTGCAGCGGCGGGATCTGGAAATGGTGGCCAGCAGCAACAGCAGCAGCAGCAACAGGAGGAGGACAACACCTTCCGGCCCACGGACTTCCTGCACGAGACGCTGCGCTTCCTCGAGCGCTGCTCCAGCATACTGGGCTTCATGCACAGCATGCCCAAGTGCCCCAACTTCCACTCGACCTACAAGATCAAGGGCATCTCGTACACGCACATCATCGACGCGAATATTCCCAGTTCGATGGAGAACTTCACGTACTTCGGCAACGACTATCTGCAGACGCGGAACGAGCAGTACATGATCTCCTACCGATCGCTGCACATCGACAAGGACACCATCGTCAAAATCGACGAGATGGACAAGCCGTCGGGGGTGCTCAAGGTGTGGTTCCTGCTGCTCGACGGGCTGACCAACTCGCTGATCGTCTGCCCCTATTCCCACCAGGCGCCCATCCTGCAGACGATCTTCAAGCTCTTCAAGAACCTGCTGCTCAGTCCGGGCATCGATTTCGGTTTCTACTGCATCAACCATCTGCTGGTGCCGATGATCCAGGACTGGCTGCGCTACATCAACAAGACGGGCTCCTCCTGGCAGCTGGTGGAGAAGAACTTCAAGCACTGCTGCTGCATGACCACCGATCTGGTGGTGGAGTTCATCGAGAAGTCGGTGCCGGAGCAGCGGCGCCTGGGTGCGGGCACCAAGACGCGGCTGGCGCAGATTGTTCATCCGGCGGACAACCTGCTGTACTCCAAGCTCAAGTTTGTCACGGAGCGGATCGAAAGGGAGCAGCAGCAGTCGGTCCAAGATCAGGGATGTGGCTATGGTCAGCAGTACGACAGCAGTTCCAGCTCCGCCAGCGAGGAGCAGCAGAAGAATAGCAGCGGAGGAGGAGGAGGAGCACCCAACCTCATAGAATCACCCACCAAGATCTCCGGCTCGGCCACGCTGGCTTTGAAGCAGTTGCTCCTGGTTCTAATCGAATGCGCTGCCCAGTCGCAGGAGGCGATCGCCCGGATCTCGGTGTCCTGCCTCAAGCACGTCATCCTCTCCACCGGCATGCTCTTCAACGAGTCCCAGTGGATGATCGCCTGCTCGGCCATCCATCGCGCCTGCACCGTGACGATTGCCCCGCTGCGTCAGCTCTCCTTCGCCTTCCACGAGAAGTCGAACAGCTTCTATGGGGATTGCGCCAACGTCAAGGTGGCCGCCCGGCGGGACAGCAGCCTGGAGGAGCTGGCCAGGATCTATGCGCTGGCCCAGCAGGTCTTTCTGTCGGACAATCAGCGTGAGCCGGGCCAGAATCAGGCGCCCACGCCGAGTGCCTCGCAGTGCAAGTTGTCCGACGACAGGAGCTACTCGTTTCTCTTGTACCCCTTGAACAATGGCTTCAACTCGAACCTGGACAACTTCGTGATCCGGATACCGTTCAAGAATTTGGTGGTGGGCCTGCTGGCCAACCAGATGCTGCTCCAGCTGGTGGCCAAGCTGCTGCTGTCGCGTCTGAAGTGCGTGCCCCAGGCGGTGTCCACCTGCATCTTCGACAACTACGCCGCCTCGGCTGCGTCGCCCAGTCACGACTACGACCTGGACTTTCGCTCCAAGGAGATCCTGCTGCGCTGCGTCAAACAGTATCTGATGTCCGCCCTGGAGTTCGATTCGCGACCCGGCCTCAAGTTCCTCATGCAGAAGGTGTCGAACATTGAGTACGCGGCGAATCTGTACAAGCAGATGACCTCCTCGTGGATGATCTACTACATAGCGCTGGTGGACTCGCATCTCAACGACATAGTGGTCTACAATCTGGGGCCGGAGGATCTCAATTTCATACTGGAGTCCTGCTCCCGGCTGAACACCACCACGGTGAAGAAGAAGGAGAACTTTGTGCGCTACCTGTTCTGCCTGCAGGATGCCTGGAATCTGGTGTGTGAGCTCTACTTGAGCAACTCGGCCCTGCACGAGATCGAGAGTGGATCGGGTAAGCTGCGCCAGAAGCCGCCGCCGCAGCTGCAGCAGCACCACCATCCGCAGAGCAAGCCCATGTGCATCTCCCTGAACGGGAATGGAGATGCCGAGATGACGGACACGGGTTCCGGTTCAGGTTCAGGCAGCAGCACCTCGCCCAGCAAGTGCGTCCAGCTGCAGGAGGAGGAGAACGTGACCATGACCACGCTGATCAGCGAGTTCCAGCCCAAGTGCCGCAGCAATCCGTTCGACACGAACCGGCAGGCCAAGTCCTCGGAGGCGGAGTCCATATCGCCGGAAATCGAACAGCAGCGGGCCAGCAGCATCCTGAAGGACTCCAACTACAAGAGGGCCGCCCTCGCCCAGCTGGTGGTGGCCTCCATGGAGCTACTGCGTTCGCTTCCCGGCGAGGCCGAGGAGAACCTCAAGCTCCTGATGACGCCCACGATTCGCGAGGCCTTCCGTCTCGTCCAGCTGCAGGGCAACGAGCTGAAGGTCAACCAGTTTTAGGCCATGCTTGTTGAGTTTTATTTTGATCTGTAGGCGCAGCCCCTGCCCCTACCAAAAAGGATCCTTCCACCCCCTTCCAGAAGTCCTCCAAAAGTAATCCCTGCCCCGCTCCCGAATGGCTAATTTACAGCTACGTCTGCATCTCATGCTCTCTCTCTGTCTCACTCTCTATGTCTGTCTCTCTCTCTGTCAGTGGAGAGCTAGGGCTTCAGTGCGACCAACAATATATCTCAATTATATCAAAGGATATACCCTAGATATGTTAAATCGTAGTAACTTTTCATAACTTCATAAAAAAACTGTACTCCATGAATTTAGATTGTTTAAATCGCAAATCAGTATTATCTTCTAGATCGATTTTAAGTGAAATATTCTTATGTATTCAGATAACAAACAACCTCTACTTAGCTTGTAAAACAGTTAGTTCTTTTAGTCCTTTTGAACATCGATAAGATTTCCCTAAATTAATGTAATGTTTTACGAAATGATTTGCATGCCTCACATGCAACGTTGGTCACACTAGTCGCATGCTCTCCATCGGTCCCTCTCTCTCTCTCTCGCCCGCAGTTCCCAGCACAGCAGGCAAAACCATTTCAAAGTAAAAGCTCAACATGCCAGCACAAAAAAGCAAAACTATCGAAAGTACAACAGTGTCGAAGCATTGCAAGGATATCGGCTATATAAGATATCTCATTGCGATTAGAGGATGAAGATGACGAAGAAGCGTAGACAACGTAGTCCTGTACATTAAATTTAGTCAAGACTTTCTCACACTTAGCCCCTGCACCGCCCCCGCGCCCCCTTCTTCCTTTTAGCCCGCCTCCCGACCACGCCCCCTCTCCCAGCACTTTTCGACTTCTAATATTGTAAAGATGTATCAGCGAGCAGCTGTCCCGCCCTAAAAATCAGTAAATTATATATATATATATATATATATACATTATATTAAGAGTGTAACCTATGTAAACTTATAGCGAATGTTAACTAACACAAAATCAGTGCCGCCCATTAATCCACGATTACCACCATTAAAGATTAGATCACACAAGCATACACATAGAGCCTATACTAAAAACATATGTGTGTCCAAGTAGTCCCGCGCTGCCTTTAAAAATACTTGCATACTTTTGTACCAGTGTGCGTACCTAAGAAAAGAAATATCGAAATTATCGAAAGCAACATAACCGAACAAATTCTAGCCACCTTGCTGCACTATCAAATCAAAGCTTACTAGCCTATATTTTCACGCCCACACCCACATACCACACAATATCGGGGTTGAGATCAGGAAATTTGAAGACTAGGCTCTAGGTTCTCCTGTCTCTGTGACCCATCATCGATTTGTCCCGCGCCCAGCTAATAGCGATAGCGATAGCGATACCGATACCTACATATACAAACAGCTACGTACAGTTATATGCCTATATAAAGATCTAAAGAGTTATATATTGATATACATAAATGTACTTATATGTATTATAGTTGCCACTTGGGTATAAATGTTGTAAATGTCTAACAAAGGAAACATTTTTATATGTGAAAACTATTAGCAACAGCGCTACAAATCTATACATATACTATAAATATAAATATAATTATATACACATATACATTTATTTTCGCTTTGTCGTATACAGTATATACATCTACATACATATATATAATATATAGAGAACTATGTACTTGTGTTATTTACTTGCCCATCTCAACTCTCTCAATCTATCTCTTTCTAATGACTTGTAAGTGTAAGTGCGAAGAGTGCAGTTGCAGAGGCCCGCAGAAAGTGTAGAAGAAATGATCGCGATCGCGCTAGGCTAGAACTAAAACTCTCCAAGAGTGCATTTGTAACATGAATGAATAAACGATTCCACAACGCTTTCGCAACTTTACTAAACAAATGCAATTTGTGTGTGTCTTTTAATGCGGAAATTTGAAAGTGGCGCTTAAAGTTAATGATGGTCACACTGAAGCTTGGGGGAGATCAAGGCGTTGCCATATCAAGTATAAAAGATGGTCATGATCATTTATTTTCGAAATATTCTAACAAATACAACGCTCTGTCTTAAAACCTAAAAAATATTTGAAGGAACAGAATTTTTTTTTAAGAAGATAAAGGCTTTTTAACATTATAAATTGTATTCACATTTATACTTTATAATTCAGTACAAAACTGTACTCTTTAATTGCCTTCAAGTTTGAAGTTTTAGTAAAATACAAGCCACCAAAAAGCTCAGAGTATTCAAAATACTGGTAACCGATTCTAATTTCGAACATCTGGCAGCGTCGCCGAAAAAGCTTTGGCGGTCGGAAAACTGGTTTGGTACTTTTTTCCCGGCTGCGCGGTCACTTTGACGACGGCTCCAATTTATTTGCCGCCTCAATTTGTCGTCGCCTCTCGCGAGATTCACGTCGTCAGTGCGGAAAAGCCCGTTCCCAGAACAAGTACCTCCCACATATTTCGTTTTCCATTTTTCCGAAAAGAAAAACAAACGGAAAATCGCGATCGTTGCCGGCTTAAAAAATAAATATATCGAAGCGCGTGTGTTTTTTGGCATTTGTTTCTTTTTTTTCTGGAGTGCACTCGATTTTGGGGCCAGCAAAAGTGCTGAAAGTGCTCGCGGGCTCACAAAACGCTGCTGCACCTGTCTCACCTGAGCGCTTCAAGCCACAAAAGTGTAAAGTGCAGCGCGACTCTTTGCTGTTCCGTCGTTTTTATTTATTTGTTTTTTGCTTCGCGATTTCGAGATCCCCGAGATTCAGCAAGAATTCTGCGAGCGTAAGCGAGTGTTTTGATACTGCTGCCGCGCTCTAATTGCCAGGTTTCGTGTGTAGAATTCTTCGGCCGCTTCTTTTTCTTCTTCTTGGGACGCCCGCACCGCAAATGAGGTAAAAACAGAAAAATAATAAATAAACTATGAAAATTGCACCACCATGAAGTACACAGAAACAAAGAAGTTCTAAAAATTAAGCTAAACATTTTTGATATTTTCTAATATTTTTAGAAATATTTAAAAAAAAATTAAAGAAATTTTTTCTTTTATATATTTTATTTAATTGCTATAAATTTACAAAATCCCTTGAAAATCCCTTGAAATCATTTTCAATATTTTCCCAATTTTACCGTGTACTCTTCTCAACTGTAAGTATGTGTTAGCCTTTGAACATGTAATTTAATGCCTTGAATTGCTGTTATTGTTAGTATTATATTGTCGTCTTGGTAGCCGTCATCTGTAAACCGCTTAACGGGCGACACAATTTTCAGATATTAATAAATAATGCGTTAATTGTCGCCCGGCCTTCAACTGTTTCGTTAGCTATTGTTACCCATATTTGTTGTGTCTTCGTGTTTGATTTGCTCTAAATACTTTGAAGTTCACAGAGAAGATTTGGAGTAATGAAAAATAAGAAAGTTCTTACGGTCCGAATTAGTCACGAATCTATTAGAGTCCAAAAGAGTGCCAATTTGCATCGTAATATAAATTTCTTAGGTTAGTAAAAAAAATAAAAAAAGAATTTACTTTATTTCTAGTTAGAACTATTAGAATATGAATAAATAAAATAAATTGAGTCAATTTGAGTGCCGATTCGCATCGTATAAGTTTCTAAGGTTAGTAAAAAAATAAAAAATAAAATAAAAACAATTAAAAAATAAAAATAAATTACTTTAGTTTTTAGTTAGAACTATTAGAATATAAATGAATAAAATGAATTGAGCCCTTTTGAAAAAGTATTGTATCGAATAGTATCTAGCTTGACTGCATTTTAATTTTACTGGCAATTACCTAAGGTCTCACATGTAAAATTGAAGTGAAAAACTGTACCCTTCATCATTGTGAATTGAAAAACGATGGTCAAAAGAAAATATGTGCCAAGACTTAGGCTCGCGGCTGATAAACGAGAATCTTGAAGACCGCCCGTAGAATCGTTTACGCAGCGGTTTCCTTGAAAATAAGCCAGCCAGCGAGGGCCTCGTTATGATTGATGGACTGGCTAACTGATTGGGCCGCCTGATTGATCATTGCATCTTGGCTGCGCCGCTTATGCAATCCCCGCCAGCAATTTGGACACTCGAGCCGCAGATGCAGACTGGCGCAGCCTCACCTGGTGAGCACCTGGTCGACTGGGCCTGCGGTGGGTTAAAAACACCAGTAAAAGCAATAACAATAACAGGCACACTTTGGCTCGGACAACAACAAACACCGAACAGCAAACAGCAAACAAAACGGCGACTTTCGAATGAGCACGGCTTGTGGGCCAATCGGTTAATTGCATTTCCTGGCCACCTCGTCATCGTCATCGTGAATACCCATCATCATCCCCATCCACAATCCACATCTCCATCTGCATCACCATCCCCGTCAGCGAAGAGTTGGGCCAACCCATTCCCATTTCCATTTCCATTCCCATGATGATGGGGCGTTAATGGCGCTTTAATTACCCGGACTGTTTGGCAGGGATCTTTTGCATCTCTTGGATCTTTGGGCACCGGGACCCGCATCGCATTGCATTGCATTGCACATGCAAATTGCCAAATGGAAAATGCCAATTCACGTTGCGCGTATCTCATAGATACACAAAATTGAAATTATAATAAAAAGCAAAGAGGTAAAAAACAGTTGCCGCCGCGGCTGCCTTCGGCTGCCCAGGCTAAGTTGAAACCCGGCTCGGCTCAGCTCCTTTTGTAATTCAAGCCACCGCACCACCAGCTGCAGCACACGTGGCGAAAATCCTTGAAAAACTATGCATAATGTATTTGCGGGAAAAAATGCTACTTTTAAGCCAGTTTAAACAGGATCCTTAATGAAGCTTGGAAAAATATCGATATTTTCGATATTTTCACTAAGTCGATTCGATAATATCGATGTTTTCACATATTAAATATCGAGAAATAACAAACTGTCGATATTTTACAAACTCTAATCCTTGAACAGAATAAAAGCAAAACTTTTTTAAATAAATTTTCTTAAATTATTTCTGGTTTATTATCGTTTTAAAATTATGTTGAGATATGGATAGGATTTCTTGTATATAGCTATATTTTGACCTCATAAATTAGCTTCCCAAAAACAGTGTTTTTTGATTAACACCTTATTTCACTATTATTAAATCATATTTATATTATTTAAACTCAAAATAATTTTTGTTTTTTTTTTTCGTTTTAAAATTTTGTTGAGATAAAGACAAGATTTTTGGTAAAGATTTTTCATAAACTAGCATCCCAAAATCTGTGCTCTTAGAATGTAGTTTAACTATCAAAAAATCAAAATTATTTTATTTAAACTTAAAAAAAATCCCCAACAAATATTCTCTGTGCAAAAAAAGCAGCCTGGGCAACCAGTTCGCCTCGCCGCCCAGTTAGCCTCAGATGGCATTTTTGCCAGGCGGACTTGGCGGCCAGACAGAAGGACGGACATTTGGCGGCGACTCTCGGACTGGTCGGGTTTTCCACCAGGTCTATGAAGTCTACCAAGACTGGCATTTGTGGCCTGGGATAAGCCTTTTAGCCAACTTAACCCACTAGCCAGCCATTGCTAAATTAGCGAAAAGTAAACGTTTGCCTTGTTGTGGGGTTTTTTTTTTGTGTTTTTGTTTAGGGTAATTAGGGCATAATTGTTATGGCATGCAAATATTTTGTTCCTGATTGGAAAGATATTCACTTAAGATATTCTTTTAAATAGGAAATTCTTGACTTTCTTGGTTTCTTAACATGAAATAGCTTCTTCAAGTGGAAAATTATAATAATAGTAGTAAGATAATGAAAGGGAGTATTAGAAGAAGGTGTTTATGGGGAACTAACCCCAATGGCTATTACTTACTGGCCATTGCCCCTGTGCCGCTCTAGAATTCCCTGGCTAGATTTCGCCTTAACTTTCGCTGTGGCTGTGGAAGATGATGATGATCTGCAGATGGCTTCAGCCGCGCCCATCCAATCCAGTTTCGTTCCTCCTCCACCTCCTCCTCCAGTTCCTCCGCCAATCCTCTCCTGCGCCCACTGGAAAAAATACCCAGAAGTGGCAGCTGGGCCGCCAGCTGTGGCTCCATCTCCCATCTGCATCTCCTGCCCCTTCGTCTTCAACTGAATCTCAAGCTGAATCTGAATCTCTGCCTCCTTCGCCTTCGTTCGCTTTTCGGGCAGCTGTTTCGCGTGGGCAACTTGGACCAAAAGGGTTTGGGTAGAGGGGTACACAGGGAAAAAAACACGGCCACAATCATATCAGCCTCTCATTGTCAGCTTAATTTTGTCATATTCATAGGGTAAATAAACAAAGTCGAATGGGAAATATTGTGTATGCGACTCTTTTCGGTTGGTTAGTGATTCAGATTTATTAGGAAATCAAATGGAATTGCACAGGGAAAAATATATGCTTTATATAATATATACTTTGCAGCTAATAAAAATGTTTTATGGGTTAAAAGTAATAATGTGTAATGTTTAAAAATTACCTTTCTTCTGGTTTTTTTTTTTAAATAAATTTAAAAGCTTTTTTTCATTGTTTAGTCTTTATGGCTTACTTAACTTTTTTATACAGGTGTAAAGAAATGTTTTTAATGATTATAACCACATCTATTAATTTGGATACTTTGAAGCAAGTGCAAAAATAGTTAATACAAGTTATTCAATATATCAATAAAATATTTATTTTGATTATTTTTGTTTTTGTGAAAGTGTGCTTCAAGTGACCCTCTTTTTTGGTCAGTGTATTAGAGTAGGAACAGGGCAGCTCGGCACTTTAATTAAAACCAACACCCTCGAATGCAAACCGACACACAATTGCAACCGAAACTGAAAACGGCATCATCAATTTATGCAAAACAATTCAATTTTTGCCGCCACCACCGGTCATTTACCCCTTTTGCAACTCCCTCTGTGTTTTTATTTTGTATTTTTTTTTATATTTGCGGCACCCATCATTTTGCCTTAGGGCGTAAAGCAACGTAGAGCAAACGTACTTGAAACAAAGTTTCGTGTCACGCCTTGGACAAAAAGTTGTTCAACGTTTCACACGCTGCAAGTGGGTGGCAGCAGCAGCAGCAGCAGCAGCAGCAGCAACAACATGGGATACAGCTGCAACAGCAACAGCAACACCAGCAACAGGTGTGTGGGAATCTTGGCCAAATAGCAAAAGTTCAATAGCAGCAACGGCATCGCTTGATGATGCGATTGTTGCTGCCTGTCACTGATGATGTTGCTGGTTGTCTCTAGAGTTTGGTGTTTAGTGTTTAGTGTTGCTGCTGTTACTGTTGCATTTCGCCGCCGCCGAAAAAAGCAGTGGGCTGCAAAAGTAAACACCAGCAATGCTGCCATTTACCATTGTGCAGCTGCTGCTGGGCGGGAATGTTGCTGGTGTTGCTGATGATGTTGCTGCTGCTTCGACTGCCAATTTCCAGCTGACGCAATCAGGCAAATGAAGAGGCAGGCAGCGATGCCAAGCTCATCTTGCACGCAATCGAAACGCTGAATGATTTGAAGCGCAAAATTTAAATTGTCTTGCCAGCCGACTTTGCGTCGGTTTCACCAAACTCTGATGTTGCTGTCGATGTTGCCCGTGTTGCTGCCTTTGGCTTTGTCCCATTGCCACACACTCGAAGCGTTTAGCTCGCACAATCAGCTGCCACATAAAATCCACCAAGTTATGCAGCCTAAAATATTTATTTTACAATTTGTTTTCATTTGAAAATGAATTTGTATTTTATTAAAAGATTTAAAAGCAAGCCAATTTAAATTAAATAACTTTATCTAATTTTTTTTTTATTTTTTAAATAAAATCCACCTAGTTATATGGCCTAAAATATTTATTTTACAATTTGTTTTCATTTTTCTGCAACCAAAATGAGTTTTAAAGGCAAGCCTATTTAAATATAATAATTTTATTTAATTTTATAAT